GCCATAGGACTATTTTTATTTTAGACATGGCTTTGTCCTAATCCCTCTCTCCCAAAAAAAACAGCAAAAGCAAAAAACTGGGCATTCGAGAGAATAACAAGAGGGTGAAAAAAGAAATCTGCAAATGGGATTTAACTGCACCTGTTTCGATGCCAGGGATGCGGGTGGTGTTGAACATCCTCTCCATCTGAGTTGAGCACATGGGAACCGTCCCTAAAGCTCTCAGCTGAGCAGCCAAAGAAAAGAAGTTCCAATGAAATGGGAGTGTGATGGTGTTCCCTTCAAGTATTGGTCCCGTATTGTGTGTTAAGTATGTTGGACCATTACCGGTGCATGTTCACCACGCTCCAGTTTGCGTCTGTACTGCAACATGGCGTGCACCACGTTGCCCGCACGCGCCGCCTGCCGGTGGGTCGGCGTCACATACAGCAGGTCCTTTGCCACAACATATAGACAAATATTATGGGATGTACAGAAATGTAGAAAATTAATAGGGACACATTTAGTTGCAAGTAAGCAATTTGAACTGAAATAATAACGAAAATATAAATAAAATGTGATTAAAACTTATCACTTTGAAAAGAACCATTAAAGATACATGAACTTTTTTTTTTCATTAGTTTGGCTGTCAGCTTATTTGAAAAGTTAATGCTTAAATAACATACAAAAAAAAGATCAAAATACATTGACAAAAATCTGAATTAATAAAATTAGAATAACTTAACGTGAAACAATTATTAAATAAAAAAAGTCAACCAAATTAAAATACAAAATAAAAAATAAAATACTACAAAATGAATTATAAAATACCTGTACATCGTACATTGAACGAAAATTACATACAAATACAACAAAAAACTAAATAGGATAAAATAAATTAAATGTTTGTCACATGCTCGTCACTTTTCTGAGTCGTGAACTCAATAAAATAAAAGTGCATTAAATGAAATGATTGATAGCTTGTCTGCACTGTTAACGAAACAAATACGGTCTGATACAGGCTTTCACTTGTATCGCACTTTTCCACCTCGAAGGCGCTCAGACTGACTCCTCATTCACCTACTGATGACGCAGCATCAGGAGCAACTGGGTGCTCAGTATCTTGCTTAAGGATACTTCGACAAGGTCACAGGGGAAGGGGATCTAACTCATAACCTCTAGGTTGAGTTACAACCGCTCTACCACTGAGCCATGCCACCCCATAGCAGATAGTACATTGTGTTCTTCCATCTTACCATAATGTAAAAGTTACTGTTGACCATAATTGGGCCCCTGCCTCTCAGGTAGATGTACTCCTCCCACCAGTCACTTACCTACAGGACAGAATATATATGAATGTCGAAAATTGTGTGAATAGTAATGACACCTTTTGTGAGATTGTACTGTAGAGCACTCACATAATTGGTGGCCCACCAGGACTTGACTTTCAAGTATCTCTGCAGCTGGGCAGCCTCGGAGTCTTTGAAGTCGTTGGCCAAGAACTCCATTTGCTTATATTCCTCATCATCCAGCAGGGGACGCACCGACTCCAGGTACTGCACAAAAACCAATTGGGACCATAATTGGACACAAAAGGCCTCAAAAGTTACTTTCACCCTTTCATACACCCTGTAGCCTGATACCATGATAACATGATTAAAGACAGCAGCAATCATAATCTACCAATCCAATACACTGCAATTACAAACTCAATGGAATGTTAATAGAAAGCAGCATGTTTACAATATGGATAGAGGTTAGTGTGGAAGTAACATTATAATATGCATATTGCATGATGTTAAAAGTGAGTTCAGCTTCATGAGGATAATGATGTGGGGGAAGAAAAAAAAAACCCACAACACTACTGGAATAAAATTGTAGCAATACTAGATGAAAGTCAGTACCTTAATGAAAAGCGACAGTATCATGAGAATTAAGTTGTGATTTTACAAGAATAAGGTCAGAATATAACAACACAAAATCTGTAATGCTACTAGAATAAAACTTCCACCTTCATTCTCTCAAAATGATTAATTAATTTCCCAATCTTCCTTGTGACTACCCACCCTGCGAATGGTGTCTTCCACCCTTGGCACAGGTAACCGTGGTAAGGACGCCTGGAAGCTGTAAAGAAGTGGCCTGCGTCCTGAAAACATCTTCACCAGGCTCTGGGAGCAAAAAAAAAAAAAAAAGAACACATTAGCAAATCAAATAACTAGCATTTTAAAAGTCAAAACAGTGAGTTACATCACACAAACCCAACTCCAATGAAGTTGGGACGTAGTGCTAAACATAAATAAAAAACCTGTTTAACACAACGGCCCGACTTCATTGGAATTGGGTTCGTACGTACCAGCCACACTTTCGTGGAAGTGCTCATCTTTCCGTGGGATTCAAAGATCCAGCCGTGGTAGGAGAGCAGCGCCTTGAGGGTGTACCTGAGCAGGTAGATGAGGAAGAGCCACAGGGCGCTGGCGAACACCACGGCGCTCAGCACCGCGCTCGTCTGCACTGATAGATATCCTCTACTCACAAAAGCCACAACAACTGCGCTCGTTACTCTTTCCTCACGTGGAGACGGTCAATCAAACATGGAAACTGTGTGCCCGCTGGACACTTCATTAGGCACACCTATATTGTCATGTCAGAGAGTACTGAGAGAAAGCGGAAAGGTGTATCTAATCAGGTGTCCAGTGAAACTGGTAGTACAGAAACGGCTTCTGACCTGAGCGGCATATTTTCCTTGATGGCGTGCATGATCCCTAGCGAAGGGTCCATGCCTGTGTACAAGCTGCTCATCATGACAATGACAACAATCAGCCAACTGGACGGACTGGCCGGGTACACGCCGGCCAAGATGCCGTTCTGGACGACAAAAAACACATGTTCGTCATTTCCACGAGAATGAATAGATAGATTGAGCGCTTAATCAAGTATAGATACCTGAAAATCCATTTAAATATGATCATGAATGAGTTGTATTTAATTAGTTCCCAGCACCGCCAAACAAGAAGCCATCAAAAAAAAACAAACACTCAAGAAAAGAACAGATGTCGAAAGAAATCAGTTCAAGCACAGTAATGAGATAATTTTTATTTCTACTTAAGTAGACTTTTCAGGTATCTGTACTTCACTTGAATATTTGAGTAACCAAGTACAATATTTTATCATTGTATTGAAGGCATTTTTTTTAGGTATCTGTATTTGAGTATTAATTTATCTGACCTCTTATTTAGCAGTGTTGATAAATAACCAAGTAAAATGACTTCATGACACTTTTCGATTTGTCAGATACCTGTACATTTCAAGAGTATTAATTATTTTTGAAACCAGACAAATAATTCGAATCACTTTTACCAGTCTTCATTTTTCCACAAATACCGGTACAAGTATTTTTGCTCAAGTAAAGAGGCAGTGGTATGTATGTGTTACAAAGAAGCTCTTGACACCTTGAACTGTATGGCTCTCTTCTTCCACACCGTCAGGCCAGCCTGGCAGATATTGGTGATGACCTCCTGGCTCAGTTTGAAGTCCACGCCATCTGGACGCACGGTGAACTGAAAGCCCACCGCCTGATGGGCTTCGGCCATCACTCCTTATCCCTGTTGGCCATGCATTTTGTCATTATTGTGGTTCAAGATTGCAGTGTCGTACTGAGATATTTTTTAAATATTTGGCCCCTCTCATCTAGCAAAATAGGACAGCTTTTACTTAATTAAATATGTAAGTATGGATGTTTTGTTTTTTTTAAACACTAAACAGCAAGACCTGCAATGTGTTTTTCTTCCTGTAGTTGACCATAAAAGGCCACATTTTGTAAAAGCAAGCAGATTTTATTTGCTATAATTGCTTCAGCCAGCCCCTTTTATAGCTCAAAGAAGCGTGTCCAGAACATGACCCCGGTGCCCTCTCAGCAGAGCAGCACATATTTGCAGTTCTTTCAAGTTGAAGAGCACACACGTGGCCCAACAATAATATTGACGTCAACTGAAAAGCAGGACAGGCCCGGATGACAGCGTGAAACGACATTTTCTGCGTCACGCGACTGCAGAGTCACACAAGTGGGTGAAAGTTCAACGGCCACATAGAGAAGAATGCTTCCAGGTATAGGCCGCAGAAACACGTGTGGTAATGTCAATAAACACAATCGTTGGATTGATCGAGTCTGTAAACCTCCGTTATGCCATTTTTGATAATAGAAACATGTAGTAAGAAGACATAAAGCGACAAAACAGCTGAGTTTCCATTTACCTTGACTGTGAAGAGAGAGAAAGGCAGTGGTGAGTTTTGCACGGACGCTGTCTGTACTCTGCCACTCAACTTTGTGCTCTTCAAGGGCTTCTTCACTCAGGTGGAAACTCAGCTGCACACTCTCCCTCGAGCCCAACAGCGGTCGGTCTCGCTCCCCCCCCCACCCCTGTGTGGCATGTAACAGGACACCAACCAAAGTCAGAGTGGCTCCTCTCAAATGTGTGCAGCCACCAAAGCTGTTGCCTGCTTCACACAAACGTAAAAGAAAGAAGCGTTTGCTTGATGCCTGTGCATAACTGTATCATTCTTTAACTTGTTTGCTTTGAGTGTGACATGGCAAGAAGTCATTGTGATGACAAGAAAGACATACAGCAGGCACAAGGATGACATCGCTGCATGTCAGGCAAACCGGGATAACTTTTATGATGCTCTAAGGACCACTTGACAGATTTGACACATTCCGCCAATTGAGAACAAGCTTTGATAAACTGACCATTTATTTCACAATGTTTTGTTTTCAATTTAAAAAAGGTAATAACCTATCATACAATGTGATACTGTAGATCCACCTCACTTAATTTTTTTTACCTAATGATATATACAGTACATGTATATATATTTTTCATATATAACTTGTTTGACGCAACCCTGGTGCAGATACTCAGGCAACCTACACACACACACACACACACACACACACACACACACACACACACACACACACACACACACACACACACACACACACACACACGTTTAAAAAAAATTAGATTTAATATTACTACAATCACAGTAACAGGGTCAGTGTTGCCACTCAAGTTTAGGAAAAGGGGCATGATAAATTAAGTTTTTAGAAAAATAAAAGTGATGATAAAAAATTTACGGGAATTATTAGAAAATGAAGAAATTCTTCAAAAAACTAAAAAGGATTTAAAAAAATATAGAGAAATATTGATAGTGTAAATACTAGCAAGATTTGTAAAAAAGAAAAAGAAAACAACAAAAAAAATCAGACCAATTAATAGAATGGAGGAATACATATTCATGATACGTTTTTAAAAGGAAAATATTGCTGTTTGGCAGGTGACATAATATGAACATTCAATTGACATTCATGACCTCATATGAGTAACATTCTAGTATAATATACAATAATAATAAAAAATAATGAGATATTAAAAGTAATTTAGCATTAGCATTTTGTTCCTAGTATGCTAAACGTATACACGTTACATGCATCGAACGGAGTGTGATATCAAAAATGAAGGTAGAAGATAGCTTCATAGCAGACGGAGATGGGCAGAGGAGAAAGGACCTTCAAAGAAAGCGTTTCCACATCCATCGTCACCACACTGTTATGCTCCAGACTCGGCATCACAACCTGGGAGCCCAAGAGCACGCCTTGTCCTGCCAATGCCGATTTCTGCACACTGTGCGCCTGCGCGAAGGAAGCGAGGGGGCACTCATTGTTAATCAGTTCCAGGCTCACAAAAAAGACCCAAAAAATTATTGTAATCTGCTTTTAAAAGGAAAAATACCACTGCAGTGTTTCATTTTCTAAAAACGGATACCATGAAAACATTATTAAATGGATTGTAAAAATTTGTGCAGCATGGTAATTCAATGGGCATTGTGCTGCTCCTTCTGGTGAGCACGCCTTCGTAACGCCTTAGGGAGCAGTATAATACATGCGGATATATTTTTACAGAAGAGGACCGTTTCTTCCAAGCTGTGGAAATGTGTCTGGTAGTTGGTTTTCACAGAGGATAAAGAATGTATGCGCATGAGCATTGATGTGGTTAGTCTTTACCTGTCCCCATTTCTGCGAGCGTACGTAAAATGAAATGACCACGTCGTGCAAGTTGTTTCCTCCAATCACCACTAACTTGTCGGAGGCGCCCATAAGGAAGTAAAGAACTGGAAGGTCTGCATCTGCTCTGGTGAGCGTGGGAAGCAGCTCACGCCACGAATCTGCCACAGATTCCAAGACACATTCAGATGGCATTTTTCACTCCAGCAACCTGGATACTCGATTAAGCTGAATTCCATTTTCAATTTTGATACTAGTACTCATACCATGCCTAGTGTCATACTGAAGAAGCAGTTTCTCCCCAGTCCTCTGTATGCTACCCAGGACGTAGAGGCAATGCCCGAGACTGGTCGCCAAAGGCACATCGTGAGATAGAGATACAGTGAATTGAAAGTCCGTGAGGGGGAGCGACGAGACAAACCTGAGGCACACAGACATGTTGAAGCTATACAAACACAACTGCACAGGGTAGAATGCATAGTGTTGGGTATACGAACCTAACCTAGCCTAGCCTAACATAGTATGACATAGCATCGCATACCGTAAACATGACATGAACATACAGAAAATTAGAGATGGACATTCCGTGCATGGGACGGAACGGTCTGTAGGGAAATTAGGGTAAAGTGCCCATTTCTCCAATATATACATTCAAATATGTAGCATAACAATTTAGCAAAGACAAAGCAACCACCGAGCATAGTGTAGGATAGAATAATATAACCATCTAGCATAGCAAAACATCACATACTCCTCCATCCACTGAACGAGTGCTTTATTATGGCAATATCATGACATTGCTTATTTCCTATACAAACCTCCATGTGTCCTCCCATGGATCGTAGCACTCCACAGCTGCGTACAGGGCCGTGCTGGAGTCCGGGGTGACCAAAGAGTCCAAGTACCAGCCCCCCAATGCATAGATACGGCCCTGGCAAGCCACTGCGCTGAAGTGCCTTCTGTGCTGTCGACCCACAAAACACATGCCACTTGTTATAACACAAAGGTTGAATGTTAAAAAAAAAAAAATTCTTATCGTCTCCAAACATGGCATACATACAGAAAGAATATAGCTGCACAACTTCTTTGCTGTTGGTTGCATTTAACTTTGACCTTAAGGAGACCATTAAAGGTCAAAGTTCACTTGTACAAAGGTAAAAAAAATGAAATTGTAGTAAGTCACATCAAGTTACATATTAAATGAAAGGTCTCAGTGAAGGGATTATGGATCTATGACTATTATGGCAATATTATGTCATGTGATGGCGTAGTCACCAAAAAACTATTTCTTTGACTTGAAAGCTGACCAAAATGACACGGACAAGTCAACCTTGGGCCACATTTGATGCTAAGGGGCACATTTAATTTTTACATGTCGAGAAGGCTATACATTGGGATCTTTGTCTTACCTTTATAAGTGGAGCAGCAGCAGTCCATTCCCGAGTCAAAGGATTATACCGAAACGTGGCTATTTTGAAGTCCCATCTCCTCCTTACAAGGGTCCTGTAGCCTCCTATGATGTACAAGTAGTTATACAGCACCACAGCCGTGAAGCACCACTTGTCTGCCCGGAAAGGGAGCTCGGCGATGGGAGACCATTCTCCGTTTTGCTCGGCAAAAATGTGGCGGGCGCGTTCTGTCTCTGGATCCTTCCAAGACATCAGGTTCTCTTTCCGAAGACTGCAGAGACGAGGCTTTCCTCGCATTCTCAGGAGGATGAGTTCCTCTTTCTCCTCTTCGCTCAGACACCTGTGTTGTCACGAGGAGGGTTGCAAAAAGGGGGTCATGAGTGACTTTACTCAAAAGACACATTCTCAATCATGTCAATCAAATAACAGGTCGTCACGATACCTGACGACCTGAGGCAGCTCCAACAGGTTCCTACTCAGGTAATCGAACACGGTGCTCCTCAGCTCCAAGCAGCAGATCTCCCGAGCCAGTTTCAGGTAGGATAGACACCTCTCTGGCCTCAGCTCCTCGGTAAGCATGGACAGACACCGCAAGAGGAAGGACTCGGCCAGGAGGTAGTTGCTGACCTCCACAAACAACACACAGAAAGTTAGTTTGTCTCCTTCAAGGATGGCCACAATAAATCAGTTCATTGATCAAGAATTCTGTCGATTGTGCGGTATTGATTTTCTCAATGGCAGAGAGCACCAGTTTGTATTTATAAGTTATTTTCTGACAGCTAAGCAATTATTCAATGACAAACATCAAAACTATAGACCGTTTCATAATATTTGTGAACAATGGGGTACGTCCGGGTGGCAGAGCTATTGGCTACCCCTGACTTGAATTGAAATTCCAGTGGCGGATTTTGGCATATGCAAAACGTGCAGTTGCACAGAGCAGTGCTTGTTGGGGCACATCACCACTGATCCATCTCAATGTGGACCATCTCTGGATATCGGTGGATACCTGTATATACGAGCCTAAATCCTCCTCCCGTGGGGTCTCAAATGTGTCATGGAAGTAAAACTCCAACAGGCGGTGAAAGACGGCTGAGGACACGTGCTCCAGGTGGACCATGTTCTCAGCGGCCTCCTTCATCCCCGACTGAGACAAAGCTCGGAAATACTCAGTGCACTCAGAAAGCCTTTTCAGGTCTGCCTGCTTGGACAGTGAGTGAAACGGTTGTTAATGAAAATGGAAAATGGTTGTCTTGGAATACAGTGATGTGGAATTTGTGGAGGATACGGGCATAAGTAGTGACGATCCGCAAGTAACTTGAGTTTTACTGTAAACAGACTAGATGCTTTGAATCAAAGAAAACTTTATAAACAATTCTTATATGTTTGGGTGCTGCTGTTTGCCCAATGACAACTCCACCCTTGAACAGAGTATAGGTTCACGCCAAAATTGGAAAAAAATAAATCATCAATTTGGTAAATGGCAACTCAAATATGGGAGACTTTGCTGTATGTAGTGGCACTTACGTGGAATGTGTGCGTACTGGTTATGACCGTAACCATGCTTGCGCCTTGGCCTCCCGAGTCATACGTGCGAAGTGCCATGTTACTTTTCCACTCGTCTGAGTTTTCTTGGTGTGACGCATTGGGACGGGTGTCACCTGCTCCCCATGCACCAACTCTGGGAAAAACACTGCAAAGTTTCACCAGACCATATTTCAGCCACACACATATCCAATCTAATATCTTTCCAAAACAATTCCCAAGGAAGTTCATTTCAGATGTAAGATACTAAAAAAAATATATAAAAACTTGTCTTGCCCAGTTTCTTCTGGAGAAAGAACGGTCCAGTGGGTTTAGCTTGGCAGTTGATTCACTCTGGTCTATTTTTGGCACATGAAACTTGAACCTTCCGTGGTCTCCACTTAACAGACACAAGGACCAAAGTAGCGGTGTCCAAACTACCGCCTGGGGGCGATTTGGAGCCTGTCGTCGGTTTTTTAGCGGGCCGTCACATATAGTATAATTAACACAGGACATGTTACTTGCCAACATTGTAGTCTATACCTACTTTCTATACTGTCCCTAGGTGTGAGGGTGAGCGCGGATGGTTGTTCGTCTCTGTATGCCCTGCGATTGGCTGGTAACCGGTTGAGGGTGTCCCCCGCCTACTGCCTGAAGATGGCTGGGATAGGCTCCAGCACCCCCCCGCGACCCTTGTGAGCATAAAAGCGGATCGGAAAATGGATATTTGCAACACTTTAGATTGGTTAACGATTTCAAAAAATGAAAAACCGAGTGGAGATTGATGATTAGAACCAGTTTGTGGAAAAATATGAAGTTCACCATAATTGGAAATAAGTTTCCTCCCGACGCAAAAACACATAAAAACAATAGGTAATTGCTTCACATATCTTGGCCAACACAAATGGATTGATTTTAGAGTGCAAAATAAAAGGTGAAGAATGTCAAGTGGCCCTTGCACCCTTCGATCTATCTGTATGCAGTCTTTGGAAGAAAAAGTTTGGACACCCCTCCCCTCTTCAAGAGACTTAAGTTTATTAAATTATATGCACTGATAGTACAAACAGGAGCAAAGCAAAACAGAGAACAGTATGTTTGGTCTGGATTTAAACACACTGGAAGAGTTCAACTTTTACTCAAGTACAACGGTGCATGACAAACCACAAAAAAGTTTTCAAGCCATATATTTTAAATTGTGCTCAACAAAATGAAAAAAAAAAGGTGCAGCAATATGTCAATTGATTGTTTTCTTTTCTATTCCTCAGAAGCGCATGTCGAAGCCGAGTCATCCACAACACTGTTAAAGGTACGCCTGTCCCGATAGTATTATTTTAAGGAGTACAGTAGTATCAGAGTAGAAAGGAGTATTAGGGCCATGCTGACAATATATGATAGACGAAATAGAAATCAGACATAATTCTATGAGAATAAGGTGACAGTTCAAAAGTCATAATTGAAAAAAAATTACCGGTAATAGTAAAAATGTACTGTATAGCGTCAGAAATGAGAATAATTACTTTGCCTGAAAACTATTGAGTTTTATTTTTTGTTGGAACATTATGACTTTGTTCTAATGAAAATTTCCAATCAATTTAATGCCTTAAGGGGCATGTAAATTTGTGAGATTTTGTCTTGTGTAACTTTTGGGCATCATGACTTTTTGTCTTATATGAGATTTATTTTGTAATATCACTTTTTTTTCTGGCAAATCTAGGACTTTGTTCCATATTTTTTATTGTAATCTGACTTCAATATTGCAGATTACAAAGTTATAATTTCATTAAAATAACATTGCAATAAAGAAAGTTGAATAACCGAAACATAAGAATAACTTCTTCGTAAAATTATTCCCGTGTCATCATTCTTATAAGATAAAAGATTTATTTTTTCCTGATGATGTTGCAACTTTTGTTCTTACAAATTTATGACTACTGTCAAATAATTAAAAAAAAATTGTAATATGACTTCAAAATAATTGTTTATTTCTTGGAATTTCGATTTTTTTCCCCCTTGTAGTATTAGGACTTTTTATTATTCCTACAAAATTATAACTAACTCGAAATGTTTACATTTCTTTAACTTCGTCTCAAATACTCCTATGTCCAGGATGGTGGAATCACCCCCCCCCCCCAAAAAAAAGGGAGCACAATGAATTTCAGAGTACTGTTCAGAGCCCCGGTTCACATGTGCTTCTTCATATGAATGTGGATGGAACATCAGTCATCAGGGCAAAGTGAGGTAGTCAAAAATAGAGACACAAGCGTTTTCCACAATGAAAGGACGAGACAAATGCTCATGTCAAAACGTGGTCCACGATAGAATAGTGCAACAAAAAATTTAAATGGTGGAGGGTGGCGGGGGAGACCTCAAAATCCAACTAGATTTATAGAACTTGCTTAGACTACATCTCACACTGTTTGATTAGAAATGCATGCTAAGACTGTTTCCATTACAAGCAAGACATCCAGGTAGCTTTTTAAATGTACCGGTACTTACAGAAATTTAAAAAAAAGACTGGATTTTAAATGAGTGCAAGGAGGGCTTCAGGAGAAGAGCTTCTTTTGCTTGAAGTAAGCATCAAATCGAACCTGGGCGTAATCCTGGTAAATGATCACATCGTAGATTACTATAAGACAAGTACATACATACTGTACATACATATTAGTAGCTTGACTCGTGAGTTTGATTTGTTCTGAAAATTTGAGATACAAGCACTGGATGGTGTCAGAAAACTTGACAATGTCAAACAGCGGCAAAACCTCAAAGAAGAGGTCACGAAGATGCTTATCGCCACTCCTTGTTCAAACGTCCTTTAAAACTAGACATATAACAAAGACGATTCACAATGTGCATTTTATGAAAGTCTCCACGCAACACACAATGGCAAACACTATGGACGGACGGGCTAATGAAATTAGCATTGATCGCGCGGCAGTTATAAACACAAACAGTAGCAACAGCTGGAACAATAGAACAATATCACAGGCTTACTCTTTATGCTGGTCTAAAAAAATAAATAAATAAAACGAAGAGCCAGGGCGCGCACGCACACGCACACACACACATACACACACCAAAAAGAGCAGCACGAAGAATTAAGGTATGAAATCATGATGACTAATGGTTTAATTCTACTTAATGTACTTAATTATTTTATAAAAGGTACCACTGTACTATTACTCTTTAAAAACCCAAAATAGACAAGATAAAGGATTCCTTCTTACCATGTAGCCAAACTCAATCTTGGAGAGCTTGGCTTGGATGATGGACCACAGGCCCCACAGGAAGTGTGATGCTAACGCATACCTGCACGGGAGCGATGACAAAGCGTCTCAGGATTGTGCTATACTTTTTTTTTTTAATTGTCAACACGTTTGACACCCCGGTTTACCGGTTGGCTTCAACGATGATATCTTCTTCCATCTGCCTCTGGTCCACACTTTCATCGCCGCATCCTCCGTGCTCCTTTAGATAACTTCGGATGAAATGAAGCTGCAGGGGGAGAAAGTAAAATATTTGTCACCATGTATAGTTAATTTTTTTTAATGGTTTTTGGAAGCTCTTTGTCATTTTTTTAAGTAATTTTCTTAAAATTATGACTGTTCTCTTGCAAATTGGCAACCCATAAAATAAAATGACAACTTTTTTGTTGTTAGTCTTGTTGAACGATGCATTTTTCATTATCTTTGGATCATGTTTTTTTTCTTGAAGTAAGAAAAAAAGATTAACAGCTTACAATATGACTTTCCCCCTCAACTTTATTCAATAAAAAATATTTTCAATTCACATTATTATGACTACTTTTGTGAAATTGTGTTTTTTTTTTCTTGTACTATTACAACTTTTCTGGAAAATTTACAACCATTTTACAAAATGAGGACTTTCTTTCCCTCCAATGTCATTCATTCTCTTAAAATCAACTCGTCCTTTTCTTCTCTCTCATAATACTTCTCATAAAATCGCGCCCCCCCCCTCCATATGAGGAGCTACAGCAGTTTTTCTATTTTTATGTTTTGTTTCATTCAGTAACATGTTCAAGATGAACTCAGACTTCCACTAGAGGGCACTGTGACAACAACTACAATGTATCATGTTGCTCTACGATGGAGAATGCAATCAGAAATGCTGTCGTTTTTATTGTGTTCTATTGTGCTAATCTGCACCAAAAATGTTGCCTTTAAAAAAATAATTATGCTCAGTTTATGAATAATTTGTAAACGTGAATAACTGACCAGTCCAACTGAATTCAAATGTGATCAAGCTGCAATAAAAGATGCAAATGTGTCCAAACCTGTTGCTCTCTGCTTGGGTAATCCTCTGGCGTGGCTTTGTAGAAGGGCCACTGGTTGTAAGTGTAGTCGTACATCCACTCGCAGAAATGGTTCCCGAAATCGAAACCCCTAAATAATACACAATGAAAATGAAAACAGACGCTTACGTAATTTATATAAAGCCACATTTCAAACATGACGTCACCTGTAGTTGTAGCTGCTGTACTCAAAGTCTATGAGCATCAGTTGGTCTGTTGCGCTTTGGTCCCCTCTGTGCAGCAGCAGAACATTACCTGCACAGACAAAAGTATTCTTACCATGTACTTCAGCAGAAGTACAGATACTTGACTTAAAACATGAATAAACGTAAGGGAAATGAGCCTCTTTTCAACAACTAACGAATAGAAAAAGTATTTGTACTTTGTTGCTTCCTACCCCTCGCAAATGCAAACCTGACCATTCTGCACACAAATGACTGTAAACCAAGATGTAAGTGGTATGTAGATCCTACCATTAATGAGGAGAAGAGAGCATTGAATTCTTTTTTTTTTTTTACCTTCTTGGACATCATTGTGGCAGAAGACCACGGGCGATGGCGTTGCTGCTAGTAACTCACTGTGTGTGAAACGAGCAGGAGACATGTGACCTTATTAAACAGTGAAGGACAGCACAAGACATTCTGAAAAATGCAAACGATTTGAATACTCAACAAATTTGGCATTTAAGTGCTTCTTTTGGAACTGCAAATGACAATGGTCCAAAATATTACTCATATGATCAAATTACTCGGTTAGTCTGCATGTGAGAGTCTGGGTGAAAGTGGTGACCTACAGCAGCTCCTCGGGAATGTTTTCTTTTTCCATTTGTGTGTGTATGATTGTGTGTTTGTCCAATTCAACATTACGAAAGGTAAGAGCTCACAGGTTGGGTGCAACACACGAAAGAATGTAGTCTTGTTTGGATTTTAGAGAATACAAAGGTGTCCTTTGTAGAATAAAAGGTGTAATATAAATGATATTTCCCAAGTTAACTAGTTAAAATATAATATTTTACTTCCCCCTTTTTAAACTTTGCTGATCACTTTTTTTCTTGACAAAAATAAAAATGGATTCCCATTACATTACAAATACAACTTTATTCTCATAATACACGCTACAATTTTTTTCTCCACAACAATATGCTTTTTTTTTCGTGACATAACTTTTTTCTTTGAAAATCGGCAACTTTTTCAACTCCTATTGCATTGATGGCTACACATGGTAGTTACCGGTACCCATTTATTTATGAGGGGGTTCTTGTATAATGTCTCCCCTAGATGGAAAAAGTTTGAGAGGCAACCTTTGCACTATGGTGTGTGTGTGTGTGTGTGTGTGTGTGTGTGTGTGTGTGTGTGTGTGTGTGTGTGTGTGTGTGTGTGTGTGTTTAGAACAATATTTGGAGTAAATGATGTATCATCAAGGACTGCAACACAATCTGAATCTAAGATTTTGATAAGGGAGCATGCTGAGTGATGACTGGTCGCATGGACTATTGAGAGGAGAAGGCACTGGGACAAAGGTCAGCTAGCTGCTTTCCCAATGAAGGCAAAAATCAAGCCAGCTCTTTTCCAAATCATAATCTAATTATGTAATTGTTTTTTTTTTTGCCCCTTATCCATGTTGCATAAAACAGTTTTACGAGCACTTTCCAGTCGCAGTAAAACGTTGGCATTGCACACATTATGATTAAAGGGCCCAAGAGTCTATTGCATCATCTCAGACCAGCTACAATTATAATCATTCCAGTGCTATGACTGTTTTTGGGTTTGTAATGTACAGTAGTGGAAAAGCACAATGTATCATGCCGGCTATTATAATTATGTTGACAATAATAGGATGTTCATTTGTTTTTTTTTTTTAATAAATTACTATGATGTTATATTCTGATTTGATTCCAATTGACAATGAATTTCAATGAATGAATTGCTTTATATTGACTACCAATATATCAGTTTATAAAATGGTCAAAATCACAGAAAAAAAAGTTGACTGAAATTTTATTTTTACATTGTTCATTAATTACTTTAAATGTGAAATATAAACTGAAATAGCTGTATTTTATTTATTCATTCATTCATAAACTGCTGTTATTTAATTTTACAAAAAGGTATTTCCGCACAATTTGAATTACATTCCATTTTAATATACTCTTAACTTTATTTTATTTGATGAGATTATATTTCTCTTGAATGAATTAACAGACTACAGTACTATGGTTTCTACTCACATTACTATTGAATTTACTCAATTATTCACTTCATTAAAAAATGATGATGACCCAATTATGTTTTGATTATGTAATATTAACTATGAAAATGAATTCATTTTGCTGATTCATTTTTGCGGATAGATCTTGACACCGTCATAGGACTCAAAGTGTTGTATAGGTCATTAAGTGGCAGTAAATCCACTCACCGGAGGTTCTTGAGCTCCGTTGACAAGTTGTGCTTCATTAGTTTCTTGTACTTCTTCACATGAGTGTCACGTGTAAAAGTCAGCGTCAACACTTGATCCATGTATCTAACGGAAGCCGACATGCAACATTATTAAACAAGCGCGAGTGATGTGGGGAGATAGCTACTTTGACCACTTACTTGTTAATGGTCGCAAACAGCCAGGTGGGCTCTTTGTTAAAGGGCATAACCATTTTGTGAAAACGCGCCAACTTGGTGGCGATCTCGGCGGAGATGTCGGCATCTGACAGCTGATCTGTGCGCATGCGGGTGTTCTGTGAAAAGGAGAAACGGCAACATGAGGCCCAAAAAGTGCCTTTTATACTTGTATCTGGGCCTTTCGTGGACACTTAATCCACCTCTAAAAACATCACTATCATATCAGTCATTGAAACTGAATGTTGAAATGTGAATCTTAGCAAGTATAAGTATGTAAGTGTTACTCAAAAGATGGTTGGCTGTGTTTACTTCACTCTTGACCTGTAAGTTGCTTATTACGTGTCGATTTTTGTTGTTACCGTTTGTTCATAAAAATGTTCAAAGTGGCAACTATGTCTCCCCTTCTCCACCTGTAAAAGCATTACAATATAGTCTAACTATCTGTGGCAGGATAAGTTAAATTGGCTATTTCTCTGTGGAGTGCCGCAGCCAGTCCGCTTTGAGGCTGAAATGTTGCTTAGATTTTCTTTTTGTAAACGAATTAATCAAGTAATCATTTCAGCCTTAACAGAAAACATTGGTACCATCCAAAAACGTCAATATAACATACAGTAACTGTGACACAAAACAGAATCAATATTTATCTAATAACATGAGTAAATAAATAAATAAAATAATCATACCCAGTTATTAAATATTATAGCTATAGTTTTGCTCTGACAAAGCTATCAGAGAACAGAAAGGTGATGTTAGTCTGGGTGAACTAGGTGAATTTGAAATCCATTGCTAAGGTAGTTGAAGTTACATAGGTCAACACTACTGATTCTGAAAGCACCTGGGCAGGTTAGGCTCACATGGCACTGAGGCAGATGTCTGGTTGGACAGAAAAAAAAGAATCTACTCCAAAAACGTAAAACAGGAAACTGAAACGCTACAAAATTAAGAGAAGAGGCTCTTGGACAGGGGTGCCCAACCAATCGATCGCGACGGACCTGTAGCCCGTGGACTGGTCCCAAGTAGCTCGCGAGGGGTGTTGGGGGAAATGGAGGGGGTGGGGGGGATTCATGTGTCAATGCATGTGGTGATAATATTATATATATATTTGTGTTGATGTACACTACATGCTAAGTATCCTATCATTTTCACCCAAAAAAAGTATTTCAAAAATAAATTAAAATACAAAAGGTCACCTTTAACCTACGGCAGCGAAGCATTTTAAAGTGGTATACGTGAGCTACGATCGTGATGTTGCCACAGTTAACACACTTCAATAGCGAATCCCATGGCTCCGTTAGGCACCCCTGCTCTTGAGAACGAATTAATCAAATTCCATGGAACAAATATGAGAAGTTAGGTTGTAAATGAAGGTCAGTGTTGTACCGGAAAATACTGTTCCAAGCGCCCTTCTGGGAAGATGCCGTAAAGTTTGGGTCCCAAAGTACGTTCGGCCAGGATGGCAAACATAACGCTCTCCAACACCAGCGAGTCTACACCCTGCAGGATGGCACCGTAGATTCTGAGAAGCACCTGACGAGGCTCCTCCCCCACACTCTTCAAGTGGTCAGGCAGGCTGCACAGGTACAGCAGATTACTCAGGCCACCACTGAAAAACAGCAACAAAACACAATCACTATCATGATCATCCCGAACATCACAATTGCATTTCACCAGGCCTCGACTCAGCTAGCGTCAAAAATATGTACCAGTAATTCGTGTTTTTGTGTGACATGATAGTGGGAGACAAAATTATTAATCCATGAAATACATCAGAAAGATAATGGATGGGGATGGCATGTCTTGTATGATAGTGGATTGAAATGCATAGCTGACTCTCTGTTATGCATTAAAGAATGTTTCATTGCTTTAAGCATAATCATATTTCACCAGATAAAGTGTGGTTCAGATAGCTGCAGTTTTTCACCGCAGGGCTTGGTCCCTGGCTCTCGTGCCTATCTCAGGCAAATAGTGGGTCGGGTTCACTGTATCCTTCTGGTGAAATTTTTGTTTGGTGGTGTGCCATGACATTTTTCAGATTCTGGAAAGGCAGCATAATAGAAGCAGAAGAAGAGAATGCTAAACTGCAGCAATCATTTCCACAAAACAAAGAAAATAAATAACCGTGAATACTGTTGTATGCTGTTTGCACGTGTTGCTGCTTCGTTTATTTGCTAGATAAGGGTTTGCTAATTTATGCACGCCTGTCTTTAGCATTGAGTACTAAATGTTAGCATTGGGCGAGTGGACTTTCATTATTACGGGTATATAGTATGGTTAATTATTTTGAGTGATTATAAAGTGCAATTGACTTAAGTTTCAAGTTGTTTTTTTTTTGTTTTTTTTCATTAACTAAGCTTGAGGCAAGCATGCTTTGCACTTTATTTGGAGAACTGTGTAAGCAAGTCTTTTTGTTTGCTTTCAGCGGATACAGGAGAAAAAAAAAGCCTGAAAGCAGGAGCTGTGTTATATTGCTGTACGGTACTTTTAAAAGTACACATTTCACTGAGCAGTCCTGTACATGTAGCGAATGTTGTTTAGTCATTAGTGTTTGTTAAATGTGAAAGGTTACAAACACCTTCGCCAGACTTTTGTCAACAGTTTTAACGACCGCAAACAGTTTTTCTTGTTGCCAAAAAATGTTGTTTACAATTGGATAGCGGGTTAAATACGTTCATATGTGTTTACGTTAGTTTTGAAAGGGTGGGAGGAGTAATAAAAATAGCTTCCAGAATATGTTCTCTCTATATTGCGGATTTTCACCTGTCACGAGAGGGTCCACACTGTATCCCCTGTCATAAACGGGGGCTCTCGGTTTGTCGAGATGACCGCAAAAATTATCCTAAAAACCTTTCGACATACATGGCACAAAATGATGTGGGGTTGAACTGATTCGGTATTCACCTGACGATGCTGATTTGAAAGTCCATTATTTGGATGGTCTTCCACGCACCGGACAGGAAATCTCGGCACCACGCGAACGCCCTTTCCTTCGTTTCCCGGTCCACCTCCACGGTCCTGCCGCCCTTGAAGGACTCCGCCTCGGAGTCATCGTCGCCGTTGCACCCCAAAAGTGGACTCGGGGTTCTCGAGGTTCTCTCGTGGGCGAGAATAAGCAACTCGTAGCTGGTGGGCTTCTTCACGTCCACCGGGACCGCATCGCCACTTACATTGCCGCCCGCCTGCATTGTGAGTTTCTGGGTTAAGAGCCGAGGAGAACCGGGGCAAACTATGGGTCGGAGAGAGCGACAAGAGGTTACTGGTGACGGACGGAGCTCCCCAGCAATGCCCACTAACCGGAAAACCAAAGCATATCTCGTTAATCGCATGAGGTCAATGTTTAATCGTCATCAGTACAGCCGCTGCAACGCCTACTTTGCCAGCACACTGGAAGCCACGTGACGACCTTTGTCTGTGTCCCAATTGTCCAATCGCAGTTCACTTCCGGGTTAGAAGACAAGCTGATAGCTTGTGCCGGGTGGCGCTGTTCTACGTCACTAACGGTACGAGCCGGACTTCCAAGAAATTAAACTGAAATTGAAGTCACTACTATTAGTAGGAATTTTAGACTTTTTCTCTTTTGTAATTTGTAAAATACACTTTGAGCGAGGAGTTCTGTATTTTTATTAATGTTGACGTGTTTCACGATTCTACCTTAACTGCTATTTAGATATGCACACTTAATGTGCAAATTGTCCGTCTGTGTAGACATGCTGTTTATGGATTGCACGCCAATCCGCACCTAAAAAAATTATACTTATACCAGTAGTTCAAAAACCTTTTACACCAAATGCCAACTCAATCAATACTAATTGGGTGTCAAGTACAATTGTAATGACATAATTTTGTTGTTTGAAAAATGCACCTAATACTGTACTGTATCAGGAAAAAAATGTCCTGAGTTCCCTTTTGAGTAATGAGTAAAGCACAACACAATGACTGTGTTCGCTAATGTCAGCGCTCTCATTTCAGCCTCAAGAGTGCATCTGTGTCATTAATCTGAGCAACAGAAAAGTAAATTAATTAGCCAGTCTCTCAAAATAATTTCTACCATGCCTGAATTTCCACAAAATCTGTTTTTGAATCAACTTAGCTGTTCAAGTATAAAATTGCCATGGTAGAAAAGAAATATTTTTCAATTGCACTGCATTGTTTGTATCAACGTAAATCTTCGTCTTCTTCGATCAGAAAATACTGTAAATGGGTGCACAAAAGTAGAATAACACATGCAGTTGTCTAATGTTTTAGGTTTGTTAGAGACAAAAATGTGTCACCTGCATTCTCTGAGACAGAAATGGCTTCATTGGTGATGGCCAACCGGGTCAAATCTGCCACTTCTGGGTCGTCGACCAAAAATATTGAAACATTACTGAAGGCGGCCATTATGTGAAAATATTTTCTCATCAACAGGTATTATTAAAAAAATCCACTCAGTGCTCTATAAAAATAGCTTTCCTTGTGGCTTCGCTGAGGTAGAAAAGGCGAATTTGCTTGTCAGATCTTTTTTTTCTGGCTTGATGAACACAACCGCCTATAAAAGGTGTTTTTTGTGGGTGTGTTTTGGCAAACAACCTCTGCCTGAACCTTTTGTTTTTTGAGACACACCTAAAGAATCGTATGATGAAACTCTCCATAACGTGATCTGCAACTTTGAGATAATTTCTTTGTGACTCATGTTGCTACGCTGCACTCAAATACAAAAACAAACAGTCACATGTCTATCATTTCAAATTCAATATTAGGGCCTCTAGTATTTTTACAGCAACATTTTGTCAAAATCATCATCAAACTTTGATGCTTCCCACATTAGATGGCCTAGGCAAAAAAGCTTGGCAAGTGAACATTGTCCATCGGTCTACTACAACTGCGACGGATTGGAGCCCATTCGGGCAAAGTGAGCCAAAATAAGAATGCTGGAATTTGCCCCAAAATAGATGTTTCAATCCAAAATGGCTGACTTCCTGTTCGTTTTCAGGCGTGTTATCCTTGAGTTTTTCATGCATCCTGTTATGATAAACACATCCACCAAATTTTGCATCAAAAATTGGTGTTCAGGGCATTTTTTTGTTGTTCCCGTTTTTACAAGAAATCATTGAAATGAACGTCAAACTTTGATGTCATACTCGGTCCACATTTGCTGGTGTAGACAAAAAAAAAGCTCGACAAATTTGCTTTCTGATTTGGGCTCATTTGAGAGGTCACAGGTTGAAGCTCATCAAGTTAACAGCTTTCGGAACCAAAATGGCTGGCTTCCTGTTAAATTTCGGGCATTGGTCCTAGAAACTTTTTACGTGTCCAGTCAGCTCTAATACATCTAATTTTATGTCATATGTCAAACTGGGGTCTTGGGCAAATATTTATAACTTTCAAGGTGGTGCTACTGAGTGAGTTTTGGAGGTAAGTGTTGGGGAAACCTAAAATACACATACTATTATTTTTACCGGGGTACAGGCACTTGCACAAATTGAGGAATTTCTGGGCACGATGAGCCCCCAAAATGGCAATTAATTCATTCAAATAACAACACCAGGGCCCCAATAATTACACACTCTTATCCATTCTTTAAAAAAAGACATTTAATGTTAGATTATTACATTTCATTCATAAAAAAAGACATTGTTCACTGACATTCTCTGTAGTAAAATGTCTACTGTGAAGTTATTTTGGTGTCACAACCCCCTCCAGCTGAGCCTAAATGGGACAAAATGAAAAAGACAAAACTGTTTCAATTTCAATTCACGCCATCGATACGAACGCTAGTTTAACGCATCATCACCTTAAGCTGCTGGTTGGTTCTCTTAAGGAACTGAATCTGCTCCGTGTATTTCTTTTCCTGGACCTCGTGTTTTTCTTCTTCGGTCTTTTCAATGGCATCACATTTGGCCTTTTCATCACGCAACTCTTTCTGCAGCTCCTCTTTCTGCTGCTCCAGCACGGCTATCTATGAAAACATGCATCAATTGAAGAAATGCTGCTGAGATTTTATTCATCTCGCATCAGAAGATGATTTCGTCAACCACACGTCAAGGGGGCCAGGCATTTATTGGGTGTATTGGGTGAAAGGCTTTTGGATTTTTACAGTGGAATTTCTGTATGTTAAATGTGCACACCAAACAAAAATTATAATCATCTCGTCATTGTGTTGGCTCCGTCAAAATTCAAGGGTTCACATTGAGGTGGCTAGAAGTTCGGTCGGCCTGAAAGAATAACGTTCCTTCTTTTTTTCCCTCCTCCATGAACCTGAGCCCTGATCAACTGTGATGTCAATTTCAGTCCACAGCTTAAAACTGGGTGGATTTTGCGGCTTAATCATATTCCACAAATGCAATATTAATCAGAATCCCGTGTTTAAACTAGTCGGGGAACATAAACCACAGTGTAAAGAAAATTTTGAAGTTGACTTCCCCTTTAAGCCAGTCTCTGGCTGGTTCTTGGTTGTACTCTTGATTTATTTTTTAAAATCCACCTACATGGTGACACTGCATTACCTCACAACCGCTCGAGTTATGGGCCGTCGCTTGGTTGATTTTCTTTTTTTTAATATTTTATTTTGCTTTGCTTTCACTCCTCAGCCCAAGAACTCAACTGCGGGGGAGACAAGTTCACCACTATATCAACCTGCTCAATCAAATTAAAACTGCAGGGTTACTTGATTACCGGAGGGAAAAGAAATGGTCCTTACTTTTTTCTCCATGTCCACCTTGTCCTGTTCAGCCTGCAGAGCTTTCCTCATGCCAAAAACCACGCTGCTCTCATAAAAGGTCTGGTAAGCGGCGATGGTCATCTGGATCTCATCTCGGACCCGCAACAACAAGTGACCACGCTCTGCGCAGTTGATGGTTACCTGCCTGATCAGCTCATCTATACACAGAGAGCAGCTGTAATTATGACACAGCCCTCTTATCAGAAAAACATTCACCTTCCGAACATTTCAGAAACGTAAGACGTGTTTTTAATAAGTCCAAATGTAGAGTTGCACGCCTTCAGAGTAGTGCCATAATTAAAAATGAACCAAAAGAAGAAGAGGCAATTTTTAAATGCACTTAACACACATGATTTAAGAATATGGAAGGAAGCCGGAGTAGTCGGGATAAAACCCACACAAGCATGGGGAGAACATGTAAACTCCATGCAAGAAGGCCGGATTCCAGATTTTAACCCCCAACCTCAAAACTGTGAGTTGGACGTCCAAACAACTCATTCGCCCATGTCTCTTCTGGCTCTCAAAAAAGGTTAACGCTTCTTCCTCTGCTCCCTACCTGCCTCATTCTCCCAGGTTACTCACTATGTTTTATGTAATCTCTTTGTCTAAAGTATCAACCGGAGCGTCCTGCTGCATTTCCCTCCGAAAATTTAAAATGATGGAATTCATCAAATGGTTTCTCAATGCAATCAACCAAATGGGGAGAGGTGAGCCCACCTTTCCTGACAGAACATTTGGGGCTGGATACATGAAGGACACGTAGAGGAAGTGGAGGACCCTTGTGGCTGGTGATTCTATCCATCAAGGATTTGGAAGAATGCTGGAATCCTGATAACAGGCATTCTGCTTTTTGGAGTTGGCAATTTCCTGATGCAGCGCAAAGTTCGGAAGACGCTGGCAGTACTTTTGGAAATGGGGAAGCTGCCTGTCATGACTGAGGGTGCGTGGAAAGCCGTCAATACTCAGACTCCTGGCATCGAGCAAGCTCAGTCGCCGGCTGCATATGATTCCTGAGCTCCTTCACAAAATGGAGGCCGACTTGGAGAAGTCGTCAGCTCGCCTTGGCAAAGAATTGACCACAAGTTTTGCTATTTGATTCCCGCAGTGGCCAATGAAATGAAAATTCAAGTCTCCCTGTTCTAGAACAATTGTTATCTTCATTGCTGTTGGCAATGGGGAGACTTTTTTATGAATCAGCTGGCCTTGGCAAAGAATTGACCACAATTTTGGCTATTTGATTCCCGCAGTGGCCAGTGAGACTCAAGGCAGACAGAAAATTCAAGTCTCCCTGTTCTAGAACAATTGTTATCTTCATTGCTGTTGGCAATGGGGAGACTTTTTTATGATTATTTTACTTTTTCACTGTCCACCTCATGGCATGTATTTGCATGTCTTTATAGCCGTTTCCTTACCAAAGCACTGTGTATAAAGCTCTCTTCGGACAGGGCATATTCCCGTCTCTATGGCCCGTCTTTGCTGCAGCTTCCTGTCCAGGTGCTCCTCGAGGTTCACCACGTCCGCTCGTGTGCACGGTGCACTGGACACTTGCTGCACCCACAGCTGGTTTCCCTCCATCCATTCCCTGGCATGGCAAGAGAATGAAAATGAGTGTTGAATTACCTGAGTGACATGATGTGAAAAGCAGGAACATACACAGTACCTGGGTGGAAAGATGAGGTTGAGTATGTCATCATTTTGCTGCCTCGGAGCTTCGGCTGCAGAGGATTTGGCTTTTGGAGGTGGAGGCACCGGGGACTCGGCATGCGGTTGGTTGCTGACTTTAAAAGGATTCCCTGGCATGGCAAGAGAATGAAATGAATGTTGAATTACCTGAGTGACATGGCATGGAAAGCAGGGGCATACACAGTACCTGGGTGGAAAGATGAGGTTGAGTATGTCATCATTTTGCTGCCTCGGAGCTTCGGCTGCACCTCTAAATGGTCCTTGGTGTGATTGTGAGTGTTAATGGTTGTTGTTTGTCTATGTGTGACCTGTGACTGGCTGGCAACCAGTTCAGAGTGTACCCCGCCTACTGCCTGAAGACAGCTGGGATAGGCTCCGACACACCGGCGAACCTTATGAGGATAGGTGGATTAGAAAATGGATAGATGGATGAATGGATGCATATATGTGGCACAGTAATCAACTGGTTAACATGTCATTCTCGCAGTGCAGAGGTCCAGAGTTCGATTCCAAGCTCCTTCCTTCCTGTGTGGAGTCTGCTTGTTCTCCCTGTGCCTGCATGATTTTTCTCTGAGTACTGCAGTTTCTTCCCGCATGCCACAAAACATGCATGGTAGGTTAATGGAATAATCTTAATTGTCCCCAAGTGTTGTACCCCGCATATTGTCCGCCTCGCAGGGCAGAGGTCCAGAGTTCAATTCCAGGCTCCTTCCTTCCTGTGTGGAGTCTGCATGTTCTCCCTGTGCCTGCATGATTTTTCTCTGAGTACTGCAGTTTCTTCCCGCATGCCACAAAACATGCATGGTAGGTTAATGGAATAATCTTAATTGTCCCCAAGTGTTGTACCCCGCATATTGTCCGACGTTAGCAGGGATAGGGTCCCAGAACCCTCATGTTAGGATAAGCGGCTCGGATAATGGATGCATATATTTCCCGATTGTTTATTGCATGGCAGAACATCCACCTTCTCTAGAACATCCACCTGTCTCTGACATGTTTTTTCCAGTTTCCTCCCGCATGCCAAAAAACATGCATGGTAGGTTCATGGAATAATCTTAATTGTCCCGAAGTGTTGTACCCCGCCTATTGAATGTTAGCAGGGATAGGGTCCCACAACCCTCATGTTAGGATAAGCGGCTCGGATAATGGATGCATATATTTCACTATTGTTTCTTGCATGACAGAACATCCACCTATCTCTAGAACATCCACCTGTCTCTGACATGTTTTTTGACTTCTCAGTAAGAGCAAGAATTAAAAAAAGACTATTTAAACTATTTTGTATACAGTTTTCCCCATTATGCCAAGATCTCAAAACATTTTTTGTATATAATTGACAGTAAACATTCTTTTACTTTGTACTCAAATACATTTCAGTCTCTATTTTTTTCTTTTTACGTTCAAATCCTCTACCCCCGCCCCACCTACCAATCCCTTAAATACAAGAATCTGAGATTCAACAAGTACGAAGTGTGAGTGCTTTCCCCACCTCTGATTTAGTGCGCAAGATGTCGTGAAACTTACCTTCGAACACTTCTATTTTTTTCTTTTTACGTTCAAATCCTCTACTCCCCCCCCACCCCCCTTAAATACAAGAAACTGAGATTCAACAAGTACGAACTGTGAGTGCTTTCCCCAACTCTGATTTATTGCGCAAGATGTCGTGAAACTTACCTTCGAACACTTTTTATCTGTGGTTTTACTGATTAAAACTGGGTTCTCATATTTCAGCAGCGTCTCGGGAGGTTCAAACATGTTGCCTTAAAAATATAATAATAATAAAATAACACATCTACAGCGGAAATCCCAGACCCCCGCTCGGCTTCATGAATGCATACGTAAGTGTAGTCAAAACTGTCCATTCAGTTGTCTCATTTTGTCACTTCGCCCTCGTTTATGCGCGTCACCCTTGTCATCAAATTCGAGGGAGGAGTGTTTGAAATTGTTTCCCCTACGAGATGTCACGCGATGTCATCACTAATCCCCCGAGACGATGACGCGACGAGCTGGTATTTTCAATAATAATTATGTAATATAAGACGTTGAGAAATATTCATCCTTTTGCAGGCTTTCTGGTGTAACCTGCGAGAAAGGTCTGGAAAATGAAGACGTCAAATGGTGGTGACTGACTGAGCATTAAGCGGGTCACTTTTTGTTTTTGTCACAGTTACCTACGTTAGCATACGTCATGCTAGCCAAAGTAGCTGCTTCCGTCTGATTATGTCGGGAAATATAGCACGGTAAAAGTGGTATTTGTAATTATTTCTATATTCATGTAGTTAGCGTTGCAAGCGAAAGACAATATGCACCATCGTGCATCGAGCGAGCAGATCAGCTGCAGGTCCCCCCCAAAAAATCATCTGTGTGCAACTCGGATCAGTTTACAAAACATTCAACAGTCACAGGAAACCATAGAATTAATCACGATAAAAATGATTTGAAACCATAATTAAAATGATTTGGAAAAAATGCTTCTCTTTGGTGTTTTGATTGTCGTTTGTCAATTGTAAATTTGGGGAAATCTGATTAGTAGCCCATGTACTTGGTCAATACGAAATTATGAGATCGTTGATAAAACACGAACTATGTTGTACGTCATTAGTATTGTATACTAGCTGCCATGCCATTCATCAATCATGTGATCCATTTATCCTCACAAGGGTGGTAGACGAGCTGGAGCCTATCCCAGCTGCCTTTGAGCAGTAGGCGGGGTATACCCTGAACTACAGAAGTTGCCAGCCAATTGCGGGCCGCATCAAAAAGTCATTATTACATTATGTCCTCTTAAAAGTTGCCAGTTATTTCTTTAGATGATCTACAAAGTTATTCCAATTCCCCTCTCTCGAATAGTGCTCAGTGAGTGCACAGAAATTAAAAGAAAGAGACATACTCAACTTACTGTCCCCGGTAATCACTCCAAGCTTGGTCTGAGTTCACGGACTTGGAGGTTTGCTGAGGCCATCGGTTGGTGGACTTTTGAGGCACGACTACACAGCCTAGCAGCAGGGTGAGCGCGAGGAGACCAATGGACTTCATTGCCGTGGAGTGTCGCAGCACACACACACTGGATGATTTTATAAGGTGTGGGTCATGTTGACATCATAACCCTTCTATTTGCTTCCCCAAAACTGGTTCGAATGAAGCAATGAGAAGCAAAAGATTCTTAATTTCGGCTAAAAAAAGAAATCCCAAAATAGCCACAATCATTGGTACATATGAATATTTCACACTTGGCATTAATCCCTGGACAATCCCTGAGTGCCACATACAAATACAATGCCAACTTGTTTGAGCAATTACATAATAAAAACCTTGGGCGGGTCTGGATGACCGACGACTGCTGGGGTCACGCTATCTGTGTTCATCCAGCATTGACAAAATAAACACATGCTCTTAACTTCAAGCGCATTGGGCCATTGACGGAAATGTAGAGCACAATGTTGAATCTGTTCGCACTGATCGTACTTTGATGACATTAACTAGATGGTCCACTTTTAAATGGATATTGTTCGGTTTAGAGAGGTTGGGGTTCTATTGCTTGGTCACTTGATATTCATTCTCAAAATCATTCACTGGTTATGCGATGCAGCTAACCCTGTAATGAATCCATCCATCCATCCATCCATCCATCCATATTCTGAGCCGCTTTATCCTCACAAGGCTCGCGGGGGACACCTTGAATCGGTTGCCAGCCAATCGCAGGGCACACAGAGACGAACAACCATCCACGCTCACACTCACACCTAGGGACAATTTAGAGTGTTCCACTAACCTGCCATGCATGTTTTTGGATTATGGGAGGAATCCACTCATGGAGGCCGGAGCTGGAATTGAACCCCGTACCTCTGCACTGTGAGGTCGACGCGCTCACCACTGGTCCACCGGGTTGCCCTGATTCACTGCCCTGGGAATAAAATGACGTGGATGAATGAGAAAAGCTTTGGGAGAAAGACTACACCCCAAACTTGTTTACAGTCCAAGTCCTTCGAATCTTTGACAATCGTCCTAATTTTCATGTCAGACAGTACAAACCTCATTCGAGTTTTGTGCTACTATTTGCATGAATGTTTTCCTTGTCATTGTAATATACAAATGCAGTTCCCAGCATACTGATCAAGAGTTGCACAAAATAAATACTCATTTCTTGTGGTGCTGGACATTTCTTTGAAAAATAAAACTGACACTGTAAGCAAATGAATCCATAAACATGCTTGATCTGTTACTGTGACAGTGTTCCCTTTTTATGCAAAATTGACGACATGGGAAGCTCTCTAGATGTCCTTATTTTGTAACTTTCATGGGTTGGCTACAGTGCTGGGGTCCATCATCGATTGGCACAAATGTACTTTGGCAGAAGGCAGAGTGTGACATCTTCTGTGAAGGACAGGTGACCGTAACCCACTGTCAACATAACCTTTTTGGTGACCGCCATCTTCTCAGTACAGCTTATTAAAAAAAATAAAATAAACAGACACAATTGTACCTTCTTTCATCAGTTGCAGTGTTTTATATTTTCCAAATTATAATCTTCATCCTCCTATTTATAATAAATACTGTCTAGATCAGTGCACTTCTAGCTTTCTTTCATTGATGTCCATCCCTTCTAACATCTGTGCTGATTGGCTGGGAGAACACGCATGATTCCTATTGCCTGGTTTTGTGTTACATATTTAACCCTTTCACGCACCCTGTAACCCGATAACATGATCAGATGTCCACTGAAGTAACCGCTGTCCCTGCAAGGGTTAATGGTGCATACACAGCAAATTCAACACATTTGTCAACATGAATCCTTCGAGCCTTGCCTTGTGCTTTAATGCAGACTACTACTTCAATATCAATGACCTCTCACCATTTCTCAATTTTGAAGTTTGATTTTTCATTTCAAAATGGATTTGGGGATTTTTTTCTAAATACCCAAATTCAAGCCAGAATCAAGAATAAAATTCAACGACTATACACTACAGTGGTGCTGATCAGTTTACATACCCATTGCCGAGTTTGTCAAATATGAATGGAGACCACCATCTCATTATTTCCGTTGTTGCTGTTTTGTTTGATTATCGTGTGATTCTGAAATTCATTATAGTTTCATTTGAAAGATGAATAAAAAAAAAGAAATAAGAGTTTTGCCTGATCACTTATGTTTCCTTTCAATCCCAGTATATACATCTAACAATTTCTACCAAGGTGTTTAAACTTAGGCACAACTGTGTTTTCTCTGTTCAGTAATGCAAGTAACCAGCTGTCATTTGACATCTTAATCAAGAATTGATAATTTCATTTACTGTTTACAGTGTTGAAAAAATATCATATGGGTGGAAGAGATTATACATATTGCTACATTAGACTTTTACAATGTGATTTTGACAGTTACCAATGCTGTTCTATTTGGATCCACTGTGTTGCAGAATCTTACTTTGGGCCCTGGTTTAATCATTTCTTAAACTGTACTATTATTTTATTGCCTTATAGTGTGGCTTGTGGCAGGACTGTAGATATTTTGATCCTGTGTTATGCAACTGAATCGCACAATTTGAGCGGAGATCAGCGTAACAGTCAACATCAGTTTACATACCCACTGCCGAGTTTGTCAAATATGGATGGAGATCACCATCTCATTATTTCCGTTGTTGCTGTTTTGTTTGATTATCGTGTGATTCTGAAATTCATTATAGTTTCATTTGAAAGATGAATAAAAAAATGAAATAAGAGTTTTGCCTGATCACTTATGTTTTCTTTCAAAACCAGTACAGTATATACATCTAACAATTTCGACCAAGGTGTTTAAACTTAGTGTTTTCTCTGTTCAGTAATGCAAGTAACCAGCTGTCATTTGACATCTTAATCAAGAATTGATAATTTCATTTACTGTTTACAGTGTTGAAAAAATATCATATGGGTGGAAGAGATTATACATGTTGCTACATTAGACTTTTACAATGTGATTTTGACAGTTACCAATGCTGTTCTATTTGGATCCACTGTGTTGCAGAATCTTACTTTGGGCCCTGGTTTAATCATTTCTTAAACTGTACTATTATTTTATTGCCTTATAGTGTGGCTTGTGGCGGGACTGTAGATATTTTGATCCTGTGTTATGCAACTGAATCGCACAATTTGAGCGGAGATCAGCGTAACAGTCAAAACACAGCACCACACAACTGCGGTCAACTCAACTGGATTGGCTGACATCTTGTCTTATCAGCTATCATGGGAGCTGTCCAACGCAAGGGACAGGAAGGGGAGGCAACCACAAGGCCTGCTTATAAATGAGGTGAAAGCGCACCTCTGGTCCTTACAGCATCTCGTTGGGATCACTGGTTGCTGTGCGTCCATTATAATGAAGCACACTGCTGTGTGCCTTGTGGCACTGGCTCTGGTAGTCAGCCTCTGCTCCGGATACCCGAATGTAGACCAGGAGCACCACGATCAGCAGCAGGCTAAGCATGTTCTCGAGAGGCCGCTCAGCTGGACCTACCCTGAAGGGCCAACGGTTCCAGTTGAGCATGTACCTGATTTTCAGCTGAGGCACCCCATCGCCTCAAAGACCGTCTCTGTGGAGTGCGGGGAGAGACAAGCACGAATGGTGGTCCAGAAAGACTTCTTTGGAACAGGCCAGCTCGTCAAGCGCGCCGATCTCACTCTGGGTCGCTGTGTCGCAGTAGGTGAGGACACTCAAGCCCAGGTGTTGATATTCGAGACCGAGCTGCAAGACTGTGGCAGCATGTCACGGGTAAGCCGCAGTGTGCTTTTGTGAAACGATACCGGATAAACATCCCTTTTTAACTTGTCACCCTGCATTTTATTACATTTATTCCCCCCCTCTGCAGATGACAGATGATGCTCTCATCTACACATTTGTGATTGACTATAACCCCAAAATGCTGAGCGACTCCCCTATTGTGAGGACCATTGTGAGGAACATTGAAACTGCTGTGATTGTGGAATGTCACTACCCAAGGTGACACAATATTTTCTCAGGAAAATACATGCATTGTTCATAGAGGGAATTTTAGAACAATGTCCAAAAAAAACCTGTGGTCCAATTGAAAGTGAATAAAAAAGTGCACAATGTGCACCTTTTATCTGCACATGCGCCGAAAAATAATACATGTAGGTTCTTATTTCTTCTATTTCCCTGAAAAGCCATTATTCTATGGATTCTCTACAGATCAATCCTGTTCATAGTCACAGGAAAGCTGGAGTCTTATCACAGTTGACTGCGGGTGATCAGTGTGGTAAAACCGAGACTGGTTGTCAGCAAGTTGCATGGCCAAACAAACATTTACACTTAAATTCACATGATTAAACAAAGTATATTTTTGGAAAATATCGAAGGTTTTGCGGGATGCGGAAGGAAACTGGGCTGTCCAGAAAGAACCCAGGCAAGCACTTGGACCCAGGAACTTTTGACTGCGTTGCAGACATGCGAACCTCATGTACCAGCATCTTCCTGAAAATATTTTTGTGTGCAGTCAAGCTAATTTACAAACAATAAAACCTTCAACCAAAGAACAACCGAGCACCAAGAGCAACAAAAAGTAAAACAAGTTCAAATTCGGTCATCTTGAAGAAAAACAAAACAAAACTTGTAGTGCCATCCCAACTTTTACCCCTGTTTAAATCTTCAGGCACCACAACGTCAGCAGCCTCCCGCTCGACCCAAAATGGATACCGTTCTCCGCGGTCAGGGTTGCCGAGGAGTTTTTGTACTTCACTCTGACCCTGAGGACCGGTTAGTACCGCATCTGTTTTCCTTTTCTACGATTTTGTCATTTTTCAACATGTCTACCGAATCCGATATCTTCTCACAGACGACTGGATGTACGAGAGGCCCCGTTATCAGTACTACCTGGGAGACATGGTCCGTATCGAGGCCACTGTGAGGCAGTACCACCACGTGCCTCTGCGTGTTTTTGTGGAAACCTGCACGGCTACTCTCTCGCCAGATATGAACTCCAACCCCAGATATACCTTCCTTGATCAGGGGTAAGCACCCGTAGTGCTTGCCACAACTTAGTATCTTCATGCAATTTACAGAGCAATGATCTCAGCCCAAACACACAAAGCGAACATAGTTAAGGAAAGAAAAAAAAAATATCTGTTGAAAGAAACAAAAAACATCTTCAATGAAAAATTATAATGCTTTATATATACTGTAAATGAATAATCTATTTTTAAGATCCATTTCATCCCTGACTGCATTGCTTTTGAGAAATTTCTTTTTTAATGTAGATTGCAATGGACCCTGACATATTTTTAGAAAGATTTAAAAACCTACTGCACTGCAATCAAGAAATTTCATGTCAGAGATCTAATGATCAGTCCTACACAGAAATAATTTGTCAGTGCACCTGAGCACAGTACCGCTTTTCTCTCTACTCTGTACAATTATGTCATTTAAAAACTCACTTTGTGAAAGTCAGAGAATGTAAAAAGAGTCTATCTTGGAGTAATGTCGCCTATAAAATCCTGAAAAAGCGAAATTTCAGAACTGTTTAAAATGCAATTAATTGTAGTTTTAAGTCAGAAAAAAACGTTGCTTTTTTTTTTGTTTTTTTTTTACTTTGCTTCCAATACAATACTCATTTCAAGTACGTTTCAAAAACATTGTGAAAGTCAGAGAAAGCGCTCATTTTAACCCCTCCCAATCTCATTGCAAAAACAATTTATCAAAGTTAAGGGTACAGTACTTCATTTGAAACTTGTCAACTTGTCTTGCGTGCAGGTGTTTAGTCGACGCAAGGATCACAGGCACAGAATCTAGGTTCATGCAACGCACAGCAGAGAACATGCTCCAGTTCCAGTTTGAGGCCTTCAAGTTCCAGGGCGCTGACAGTGGGATGGTGAGCACCTCCGAAAGCGAGCCTGACTGAATTTTTAAAGGTAAAACTCCTGTTTAAAAAAAACAATAAATAAATAAAATGCCATTGACTCTTCCAACAGCTTTACATTACCTGCCACTTGAGAGCCACGTCAACCAGCCACGACATTGATGATGACCACAGGGCCTGCTCCTACATGATAAACGAGTGAGTGATGAGCATGCGTGTGTATATGCTTGCACGTGCATGATCGGGGCGCTTTGGTTGGTCACTTCAATAGCCGATCTTCGGTCAAAAAAGTTTGGCCACCCCTGGTTGACAATATATACTCTAATGATGTTTTAGAATTGTTCATCTATTCTAGTAGAAGATTTATTTTGCAAAGATTTCAATAATTCAAATAATTTGAATTATATTAATGATTTCAAATAAAGTATTCATTTAAATTAGAACAAATTCAAACAACATCATTGATGTGGAATTTTAACTTTTTGCAATCAATTTTTTTAATGTTAATAATTTCAAATGCCAGTGTATTAATGTCAATTAATTTAAACAGGTACACTATTAATTAAAAAAGCATGAATGATTATTATTTTCAGAAATAAATTTAGCTAATAATAATTATTGTTCCAATGGTAATTAATTGACATAACATAAATTATTATTAAAATATTAATGATAAATGATTTAAAATAAGATTGGATATTTAAATAAATAACAGAAAATAATCGTTGAAATAATAATCATTTCAAATAATTACTTGATAATGTCAGATGATCAAAGTATTTATCAGGTATTCCTGTTAGTAGTTCATTTCAATGGGTCGGTTCATTTTTGAGTGAATGAGGCATAATGTATGAGTTTGAACTACTGTAGGCAACATTTTCCCTGATATTCTCATTTATTGAGCTGCACCTATACTGCAGCACAGGTACTGACTGTTTTTATGTTGCTGCAGCTGGAGGGAATCCAGCGGCGTGGATTCGGCATGTGCCAACTGTGACGCTATTGTTGAACAACGACAAACAGGTGGCTGGGGCACCGGTGGCGGAGGCGGCTCTCAAACAGGAGGGGGTAACTGGAACACTGGTGGCGGAAGTGGCACCCAAACAGGAGGGGGTAACTGGAACACTGGTGATGGAGGCAACTCTCAAACAGGTGGTGGCAGCGGTGGTGGCGGCAGCGGCGGTGGCGGCAGCGGCGGTGGTGGCAGCGGC